TCTACACACATTCGCCAGGTGTCATTCGGCTTTTTAACAAGCACCACATTTGCAACCCAATCTAGGAAGTAACATTGCCGAATGAACCCTGCATCAAGTAATTTTTTGACTTCGGCGGCTGCCGCCTGACCTCTTTCTTCACCATGGTTCCGCTTCTTTTGCCGTACCGGCTTCTTTTTCGGATCCACAGCGAGTTTATGTACTGCCAGATCAGGACTAATGCCTGGCATTTCATGGACTTCAAATGCAAAGATGTCCTTGTATTCTTTCAACAGATTGTGAAAGTCGTCACCAAGGTTTCTCAGAGCAGTCGTCCCAACTTTGACTGTTCGGTCAGGACGTGAGTCGTCTAAGATCAGGTCCGCATGCTCACCAGCCGGCTGAGGGCGGAACTCATCCGGCCGCTCCTCTGCCAATGATTGCTATTTTCTTGCTTTTCTTGCGGACTCTGTCTGGGACGCCTTTCTCTTTTTGTCGCCTGTTTCTTGAACAGGCGTACTCTCCTTGACATTGTCAAGGTCTGTTTTTTCTCCACTTGACCCAGTGGCCATAACAGTGGGCTTGACATCCGAGAGATAGCACTCTCGGGCCATCCTCTAATCTCCCCTCAGGGAGCCGACTGTTCCATTATCCCTTTCAAACTTAAGCAGCATAAGTGACGGGATTATAACAGCCTTGGAATTATTCAGGGTTGGTCGACCCAGAATCATGTTGTAGGCCGAGAGTTCCTCTACTACTAGGAACCGGACTACCATGTGTCGTCCTTCCCCTTTTTCGCCCAGGCGAATGGGTAGATCTACTCGTCCCAGTGGGTGGACGACTCCTCCTCCAAACCCTATTAAAGGGTGGGAGGCCGGATGTATGCAGTCCGTCTGATATTTCAGTTTTGACAGACATTTGCTGCTGATGAGATCTGAGGAACTCCCGGTATCTATGAGGATTCGGCCAACTCTCTGGTTGGCCACTTTACATTCAATAACGAGAGGGTCGTCATGCGGCCCCCTTATTCCTCCTAGATCCTCTTCAGTGATGACAATCTCATGAAATGTATATTTGGACGGCCGTTCTTGGTGAACGGAGTTTACATCTAACCGCCTTATATTATCTTTGTTGCCCCTAATAGTGGGGCCGCCTCCTGAGAAGCCGCCTGCAATGGTGTAGACGACTGCATCATCTGTATCGGAACTGTCGGCCTGTTGATTCTTTTTGGCCGACTGCTTTTTTGAGGAAGCGTTCCCCGTAGATTTCTTGACATAAGTGTCAAGATCACCTTGATCAGCCAAGCGGTCTAGGTACCGCATGAGACTGATGCAGTCATTGGTGTGATGACCAACGTCATCATGATAAGCACAGATTTTGTCTTGGTTCCGGTTGCTCGCAGAACCCTTCATGGGGAGCGGCTTCTCAATTGAGAACCGTCCCTTTATTTCTTTTAGGATAAACTGGTTATCCTTGTTAAACACATACTTTGGGGAGTATGGTTTGAATTCTTTTTTCTTTTTCTGGGCCGGCTGTTTAGAGGAGTCAGCAGCCCAGACCTCTTTCCTTTTCTCATCTTTGTTGGACGACTGTTTCTGTCGTCCCTCTCTTTTGTCGAACCTCTTCCCGTCCGACTGTTTTATCGTACACAGATCAGTCGCCTGTATATAGGCTTCTGTTTCAATCAAGGCCTCTTGAAGAGTCGCCACCCTTTTTCGAACTAAATCAAATTTGAAGGTAGACCCGTCTTTGAGACCTCTAAAAAAGTCAGTATAAGCTACCTCATCCGGTAACCCTTGAATCTGTATTCTCATCAGGTTGAACCGCCTGATGTAAGAACGAAGCCCCTCCTTCTCGCCCTGCTGAATTGTTCCCAAATCAAGGGTCGTTTTCTTCGCAGGGATGTTCATAGCGAAGTTGGAGGCAAATAAGTAAGCAAGCGTCCTGAAGCTGTTTACACAACCAGTCGGCAGGTTGCCGAACCATTGCTGTGCAATTCCCTTGAGAGTCGCTGGGAAACACTTGCACCAAGTGGGATCATCCAACCCTTGAAGGTACATCAGGTTGGTGAATGCCATCAGATGGTCTTCTGGGTTAGTAGTGCCGTCATAGGCGCCTACTAGAACATTTTTTACTTTGGCCGGCTGAGCGGCTTCAGTAATTTCCTTGGAGAAGGCCGACGGCTGTTCACCAAGTCTAAGCAGCCGTAGCTGCCAGTCCATAGGTTGGACGTTTTTTGCTGCAGGTCCACCAAATGGAGGTGGCTGCATAAAATACTGTTGTTGCGGCACAAATGGTAAGTTTGGTACCGCCTGGGCACTATGAAAGCCGGACTGACGGGAGGTGCCGCCTGACTGACTCTCATGGTACGACTGAGTATGCCTCATCGAGGCATTTCGCAAACTGTCCTGAAAATTTGAAGTAGAAGCCGACTCTGATAATCGGTCACTCTTCTTCTGCTCTAGCAGGTGCCGAGCATCTGTGAACGTTTGCTTTGACCCGTCCGCCTGAATATGACGAACCGGTTTCCTATTTCCCGTAGGATAACGGAGTTTTGTGAAATCAAGAGCAGGTGGCTCCCGCTTCTTGGATTTAGGATGGGGAGTCGCCTCTCGCCCTTGAACTGGCTTCCTCTTCAGTGAAGTGGAAGGTTTCTTGGCCGACTGCTCTTTGACTGAAGCAGGCGGTTTTTTGTTGATCAACTATTGGATCTCTCCCTTGAAGTCCCTCATGAAGGTCATGAGTTCGTTCCTTGTGATGGGAGCAGACCCATCAGTCGGCTGTTGCCGAGCAAGCGGTGCGCCTGCTGGCTCGCTTCCTGTTTGAAGATGCTCCCGTTCCCTCATTTCGGTATGACGGGTACGTCGGGCCCTTAGGGTCCCATCTGGAGCTGTATGAGTTTCAACTTCAAATTCACTTTCGGTATCATGGTCCGACTGAACTTGAGGGTCGTCTAGGGGACGCCTCTCTTCTGGAGTCGGTACAGACTTGGATGCCATCTCTGAAGTACTCTCCCCACAGACGGCGCCAAATGTTTCGGGGTTTTCTGATGTCCTGCGGGAGAGTTACAATTCCGAGACTGGAACCGGACGCCTGTACCTGCAAAATAACGGAGACTCCTGAGAGCTCCGCCTCCAACGGTCAAGTTAGTACCTGATTAAGGAGTAATTAATACGGAAATTACAGTAATAAGATCTCTCTAGGTGAGAGTGCTCAGTGTTGGTAATCTGCGTCGTTAGCGAGATTAGCCGGTTGTCAATGTTCCGTAATAACTCTGTTCTTCTCTGCTTGAGTTCTTTTGATTTGTTCAATTACCTAACTAATGAGGATTAATTAAGTATTTATAGCCTTGAGAAGCGTGCAACTCTCTAGGTTTAAAGTAAACCTAGGGCTGATCGGGCCTCTAAACTGGATTGGGCCTTGATGGCCGGTTTTCCCATTTGGCATGGGTGGACACGTGGCGTGTCTTAATTGGTCCGTAGAGGACGTATCTGTGATTGACACGTGGCAGGCTCCCGTTGGCCTTCGTGAAGGACACGTGGCGGAACCTGGTTGGTCCACTTGTCTGACGGTGATTGGTGGATAAAAATCCCCTAATCAAAAGGGACAAAATTCTTATTTTTATTTTGTTTGCTTGCAACTACAAAATAATAAACGAGTTAGTAACTTCAAGAAAATAATAATAATAAAACAATAATTAAATTAAATTAAATTTAATGAAGTAGATTTGGGGCCAAACCCTCAAATAGTTCTACCTTTCACGCCTTGGCTTAAGGACAGAACCACGAGTAAAGTATGGACTCCTTGGAGTGCTTGAAGAAGGAATTTTGAAAGAAGAAGGGTAGGCTAGTGTTTTGGCTAGAGCATAAAAGAGAGAAAAATAAAGAATTAATTGATGCCCCGTACATCAGAAATGAGGGGAAATTTATAGAAAAAATGTGCTGAGGGAACACACAGAACCCTAAAAAGATAAAAACCCTTAAAAAAGTATACCGTAACACGGCAAAGTGTACCGTGACACGGGAAATCCCACCGTCAGACGGGAAACATTCCCGTGACATGGTGTACTTTTGTATGACGCGGGAAATATTTAGTGAAAGGACACGGAAACCCCTGTGTCACAGCAGGTGTCTTTTGTCACAGGGAACCCCACCGTAGAACGGGACAGTTTCCCGTGACACGGTGGACTGTTGCCGTGACGCGAGAGTTTTCAGTCCGCTTTTCTGTCTAAATTTATTTTTAACCCTAATTTCATTAAGCATTTTATGTGCCAATTGATAATTTCGGGCCATTTTTGATTTATTATTATTTGGGATAAAATAAGAAAAAAAGTAAATAAAAAGTTTGGACCAAAATAAATAATAAAACAATAAAATAAAAAAGGTTTGGGCTAAAACTAAATAATAAATCAATAAAAAAGGTTTGGGCTGAAATTAAAAAAAAAACTATGCTTTGACCAAAAATCAAGACTGATCCATGGACTATTCAAAAATTGAATTTAATTAAATACGATTTTTTAAGCACTCTCGGGACTAAATACTGAACCCGACCAATAGTGACGGTGATAGGTTGTTCATCATCGGGTTTGGTTTTGGGGAGACATTTTTAGGTGTGTGCATACAGGTAACGTATGGTAACACTTTCAAAAGTGAAACTATAAACACTCTTAAGTAACACTTTTTTATAATATTTGTATCAATTTTAAAGTGTTACTTTTTATTTATATGTAATACTTACTTTTCTTTAGTAATATTTTCAATGAAATAGTAACACCTTTTTCAAATATTGTGTATCACTTTTGCAAACTATTGAAACACCTTGTTTATTTTTAGGTAACATTTTTAAATCATCTTTCGACATATAGTACCACTATATTTGATAGTATGTATCACTTTTTACAAACTAATATAACACTTTTTTTAATTGATAGGTAACATTAATTAACAACTCATTATCATTATCATTATTATTATTTAAATATACAAAAATAATATGAACATGTACAATAGCTACAAATGTGAAAAATAACATATACGATACTCAATAAATTGAATTGATATAATTTCATATTTTCTTCAAAAAAATCCATAAACACCATTTTTTTGTTGGTTTGGCTAAACAATCTAACTATCCAAAAAAATTTATCTAGATAAATAAAAAAACAAGAAATTTTTTTTTTTACCTAAGTTTATTTTGTATTATTTATCTCCCTAAACATCAGCAGCTACATATATGCAAGCATGTTTCTTGTGGCATCATTACTTGCTACTCCAATCCTTCATCTTGATTCATTTGATCCTATAATTGTGTAAAAGCATCATATCAGACAACCTGAAATAAAATATTCATGAAAATCATTAAAACAAAGAATCATAAGGATAATTATCATCTGTCCAATACCAACGTCATAAATAAAGCATCCTACCATTATAATCATGTAATCAGGTCCAATCGTTGTGATTAAGAACCCCAACAATATACTGCACAATAAAAAATAATAATTAAAAAAATAATTAAATTAAAAAAAAAGATACTACACAAGAGATGTGACCAACTGTTTTTGACATGTAAAAGGATTAAAAAAAACATCACATAAGGTAATAATATGTTAGCCACTCAGATGTGTAGAAGTAGAAAAGGCCTAGATAGAACCAAACAAAGACACCCAAATCGCAGCATAAAGCTATGAATTCACAAATTCAAATATTCAAGAATCATATATATTATGTCATTTCCACGATTGTGGACAGAAAAAGCTTTAGAGAAACGACATACATGTCTGGAATTTAAATAATAAAGTGTTGTAGAAAATAGTTGATTTACAATCTGCACCCATGGAACTCCATATCCTGCCATTTTAATAATACACCATTCACAACAGTCCTAAGTGTTAGCAAACCTTCTCAGGTGACTATCAACCTGAAAAACAACCTCATGTTAAGAATAAAAGTTCATATCAGATCTCAGAGTTTAATAATTAGACAACACTTTCACTGTCTTATATGTATGTAAACTTAACTATCGAGAAACCAAAGATCTAATATACAAGAACCAAAAAAAGGTCTATCATTTCATTTTGAGGGATTCATATGTTGTGTTTTATAATCCTGAAGACATTACGCTAAATTTGAGTTGAGATAAATTCCGTAAAGCACATAGCTATTCAGGTGTAGTTTCACTCCATCAATAACAAAATTTAGTAACTGCAAAATGAACACTTGAAGGCTCTGCTAACAAAATACAAAACACATACTACCTAAAGCTCTAAAACAATCAAGTAGACATACAAAATCTAAGGAAATAAAAACGAATTCAATTATATCTAAATCAACCAAGTGATAAGACTGATAAATGAACACTAATCTTAGACTAATACAATGAAAAATCCATTAGTTACATTTATTTTTTACATCTCTAAGTCATCAAACCATTTTAATTGTGTGACAAATTTATAGGATGTTTAACTTCATTAGTATATGTTAATTTTAATCCATGAAGCTCACATCGAATCAAAATCCAGCATAATCTCTTATTGATCAATGAATACCTTGTAGCAAATCAAATGGAAAACTTTTTGCATTATGATACTCTACTTCTATCAAACAAATTATAAAAAAATAACTCATTCAAACCTTAAAGTAAATAGGGAATCCTTTTTATACCTCAATTTCCTCCAAAACTATTAGCATCAAGGTTCAATAGCATATTTAGCATGCTAGTGTAAACATAAATTTAAGTATAACCCTAAATTAATTGAGTATAATAAGAATCAAAGTAATAAAAAATCCTATATTATGAATGTAATAATCAATGATAACAACAAAAAGAACATCTTACCTTGAAAGCTACTAGAAAATTGAATTTCACCTTTTAGGAAACCTCATAATCAATCTGTTTAATTTCCATCTACAAACCACAAAAGTTAAATAATCTCAAAAATAGTAGTAATAATGTTAAAATGAATGATTGACTGATTGAATTATACCAAGTTTAAACCCCACAAACAGTAATCAAAGTAATCAGTTTGTGCAGCTTGAAGTATGAAATTACACATGAAAGTCCAATTAGCATAGCTACAATAAGAAAACAGCAAGTGGAAGGGCATTAAATGGAAAGGAAACTACCAACATTGGCCAATCACTGCTTCTTCCTTTGTAAACTATACTTTAAGGACTCTTGGTTCATGCAACCAACTCCATCTTTTTGGAAATAAGGCTTTGGTTTTGTAGTTTTTGTGATAGAAGATCACCAAAAACCAATGACAGTTGCAGATATATATTGTAGCTTCTTATCGGAGGAGGTTTTAAATAGATGTACAAAGCCCTGCCCCGGTTCTAAGTCATTAACTCTATTATTGGAGAGAGAAGTCTGCCAAAGAGAGTCGCTAGATTTAAAATTCTTGACCCCACTCTAACTTGACCATGGACATTGTAAAAGGCTGAAGGCATGGCTTCTCATAGTAGTTTCCCAGTTTCCTACCCAAAAGGATTTTGTACATAATACAGAGTACTCTTTTAGAAAACTTACTTTGGTCGTTTTTTTATATACCGACTCTGTAATTTGATAATGAGTATTTAAAATGCATCTAGCTTAAATCACTTTCATATTTTCGTTAAATTCACTCCGAAGAATACTACTACAATCAAAACAATATTATTTTGATTCTACTACAATCAAAGTAGTATTATTTTTATTCTATTAAGTAGAGTTTATTCTACAATCTCAATTAATGGGCTTCCTTCAAAACTCAATTCTACAATACCATCACACTTTTCAAACTATTACAAAAGCTAAACCCCAAAATCTAACATATGTCAATAATCAGACAAATTAAAACCAACACAACACACATAATAGAAATTCAAAAGCACTACTAACGAAATTTGAAATCCAGAACCCTAAATCGTACAAAACTCAATAATCAAACAAATTACTACAAAAATCAACACAAACATTAGCAATTCAACATGAAACTGTGTAAAATTCAGAAGTTGAGATTCTTAATATACATATGATCAATAAAGGAACATAATTATTTAACTTGGGGTTTTAGATGAAACCCTAAAAATTAACATACAATAAAGAGTGTAAATTACCATCACATTTAAGGATTTTAGAGGAAGTGGAATTTAAACTAGCAAAATTAACAGGGTGAATAGAAGAATTGAAGGAGGCCAATTCAACATCACCACCGATCTTCTCCCACCGCCCTTATTAATGAGGTGAGGCGACCGAATATCAAGAACACACCGCCATCACCACTGCCCTCTTTCACGATTCAAATATCTTCTTCCCCCCTCTGATCTTCTCTTTCGTCAGCCATAGAAATAGGGAAAGGGGATGGTAATGGAAGAAAAAGTGAAAATGAATAAGGAAGCACGAGCCTAAAGGGAAAAGCTTTTGACATAGAAGGAAGAATAAGGGCAAGGTTAAAATTCAGTAATTTGAGAAGAGGGCGAAATAGGTATGTCACTATTCCTCTTTCTAATAAGAAACAAAAACTAAAATAAAAAATTTACTACTTCAATTAAGAAATTGGTTTTGACTTCATTATTAGATTCCAAATATTTTTTTTTCTTATTTTATGTGATTGATTGTATATGAGACTATCATATTGAAATGGAGGCAGTAGTATTATAGATTTGGGGAAATCAGTGCTCTTAACTCAATTACAAGGGTACTCTTTCGAAAAAAAATACAATAGTACAAGTTTGAACCAAACCGGTGCCCTTTTACGCCGTTTTTTTTTTCTTTTTTTGGTGTTGGCTTGAATTTTTAGGTTTTTTTTTTTTTTTTTTTTTTTTGCGTGTTGGTGCCCATTTGTGTTTTTCTACTAGTGGGTACATTGTTAATTACAAGTAAGGCTTACAATTGCAATCAAGTGTTTATATTAAATTGCTACTTCATATCAAAGTGTTACTTAATATTAGAGTGTTAAAATCAAGTGTTACTTAAGATCTAAGTGTTACAATCAAGTGTTACTTAAAATCAAAGTGTTACAATCAAGTGTTACATAATGTTAAAGTGTTACAAAAGTGTTACTTATAAATTAGCTAAGGTTCTTACCTTTAAAGTGATATTATTTGCTGTTACCTAAAGTCACTTTTGTAGTAGTGACTAGACAAGGGTGGAGTAGGTTGACTACTCGCAGAAATGGTCCACATAGGCCTTACAATCCAATAGGTCTCATACTTGTGAACATTACTTTCATGCAATGATACTTCACGAGGACTATCATTATAGCGTGAAACTACTTGTTCAAGTCCGTATTGGCGCATCAATCGGAAAGGGCAATAAAAAGTCAACTTTGACATACTAGGGACATGACAATACGGGGGTATCATTCATCCCGACAACCTAGTAAGCCTCCACTAAGGCACCACCCATCGAATGGAAAATTCACTCTTCGCCAAGAACAATGTCCAATCATCATATGACATGTTTGCAGAGTAGTTTTTCTTCCTACGAACTAGATCATTGAGACCGTATTTTACAATATCGTTGGGGGCTTGAAAGAGTTCCAAACTCTCCGTCAACCAAATCTGAAAAAAAAAAATTGATGGGGCGCTGTGACACAGCATAAAGCACCGTGTCGTGGCAAGAAGCGTCATGGCACGGTGCCAGCCACGTGTCACGGTAATCAAATTGAAGCCGTTTTTACCTGAAACTGTACTAGAGAGCCCTTCCCGGCGTCTTTCAAGTCATATTTTGCTTCGTCGAGACCACACAAAGTTTCTCCAAGGCAAATAGGCATTGGGGATCTCCTAGATTAGACATGTTCAAGCACAAACGCTAAGATATCATGTCCTACTCTACCGTTTGCAAATAAAAGCTTGCTAAATAAGAAAAAAATATAAGCTCTCCTATATTATACATGGTATGAATCAGAGACATGACGATTGAAATACAAATTTGCAAGCTTTTCTTCATCAACCTCGTTACCACACAAAATATTATTTAAATCTGGGTCTGTCAGGTTTAAATGACGCTCGATATCCTGGTAATAAAATTCACGCAGAGTAGGCATCACAACGAGAAATGCAGAAGGGAAACCAAAGATAGAACCAAATTCCTCCGGTAGAGAGCATATTTCATCATAATCGAACTTGAAACAATGGGTTTCCAAACTCCAATAGTCTAAAGCTGCACTTAAAAAATCATGTTCAATTGCTACATGCATTAATACTAATAAACCTCTGACTTGATGCAAATCTAGCTCTCTTTTGTCTGCATTAGTTAAAGAATATTACCAGTTACGCAATGTATTATCAAAATTCTGAGACATTATTATTGAAATATGAAATTCTAGCTATTTTATGTTTCGTAATTATGCATATCACGAATTGAATGGTTGTAATTTATAGCTAAAAGAGCCTAGATACGCAAAAACTTTATCCTGTCCCACGCGTAAACACACTTCTGCATTATTTGCATGCCGCAACACAGTAAAGTACACTGTGTCCCAGGAAAGATTGCCATGACGCGGCAACATTTACCGTCACATGGCACTGGCTTACGTGTCACGATAGTCATGCGTTATCAATTTTTATCCATGACCTATTTTTCCCGGATTTTTCTTATGTTTTCCTTAACAGTTTATCCTTTGAACTCTTTTTTCGAGAGTTTTATACCTAATAAAATTTTCCTTTTTTAATTTTATTTTTTAAATTTTTGTATTTCTTTTTATTTTCGGGGATGTTGTAAAACTTGTCCCTTTTTTTATTTCTTTTTATTTTCAGGAAAGCTGTAAAACTTGTCCCATTCTATTTATTTTTATTTTCAGAGAAGTTGTAAAACTTGTCCCATTTTTTTTATTTATTTCTTTTTATTTTTGGGGAAGTTGTAAAACTTGTCCCTTTTTTATTTCTATTTATTTTTGGGGAAGTTGTAAAACTTGTTCTATTTTTTATTTATTTTGGGAAGTTGTAAACTTTTTCCATTATTTTTTGTCATATTTTTTTAGGGCGAAAGTCGTACCCTCCACTTACGAAAAAAATAATGTTTTTTTCGTGTCATTAATAAATGCATGATTCACACAAATAGTCACAAGCACACTCTAACATACACACTAAATGAGTAAATAAATGTCAAATGCATAAAGTGGGAATGAAATGGTATAAGAATGAGTCATGGTACATAAGTTGTGTCAATGTACATAATAAAACCCTCGGTCAAAATTCTCTAGATCTAGAAGAACTAGGATCAGTGTCATCACGAGACTGTGAGTAAGGGAATGGTAGACTAAAAAGAACCTCCATCATCCATGTATAGGGATGGCAATCCAGTCCGGATTTGATCCTACTCCGCCCCTATCTTAGGTAAAAAAATCAGCTCCAAATCCGAGAAAAAAGTAGTCCGAGTTTGAATTCCGTTAAAATAATTCGACTCCGAGTCGGAGGAGGGTTATAGTCAGATTATACAAAAAAATCCGAGAAAAAATCCGACTCTGACAAATGTCCGCACTTACGGATTATTTGACTCCGACTCCAATAGAAGGTGGATTTTTGTGTGGGTCATGGTGGAATTGGGTGTGGGTTGTAAAGGCCCAAATAGCCCAATTTCTCAAAGTATATTGAAAAAAAAAACTCAGAGTTGGGTCGGATTAGAGTCGGAGTCGGAGCCGGAGATTGGATATTGAAATTGGAGTCGGATCGGAGTTCGATTTAGCCTCAAACTTCCTGTCAAATCGGAGTTGGATTTAGCATAATCTACAACAATTCCGACCCGTTTCCATCTCTATCCGAGTACGAGAAGTAGTGTCCCTCCTAGTCCCCACAACTCCAGCATAAGACATACTCAAGGAAAGTCTTGTCCAAATGGTAAACAACGTAGGCTGACTCCAAGATGTAGGTATCGTTCGTGGAGGCAGCGTCCCTAATCACAAGGAGTAATGATCGGCCTAAATTCAGGTTGTGAAGGCTGGAATGGCTAGGAAAATGGAGGACACTACCACTGAGCCTAAAAGTGTTGGAATGGCTGAGAAGATTGAGGCTGCTGGGTCTAAGAGTGCTGGAACGGCTAAGAAAACTGAGGCTGCTGCCACTGAGTCTCCTGAAATGGCTGACAAGATTGAGGCTGCTGCCACTGGGTCTAAGAATGCCGACGATCCTTAGGAGATTGTTTGTGATGACTAGGTCCCCCCTTGTCTAAGCCTTTATGCCTCGAGCGCTAGCGAGACCTTAGTCGCCTCTGTCGCCTCTATCACTCCTAAAAGACACAAAACGAAAAGATATCAATGGTGTAAGATAAAATAAAAGGTAAACATGGGAAAACTATCAAATATACCTCGTAAACATCGTCTAAACTACTCTGACAACTCTCACCGCGTCGTAACTTGATGAAGCAATGTTTTAGAGCATTAACCAGCTTCATTATTCCAATCATATCCGAGTGCGTGACCTGAAAGCAAACCATCAGTAACAAGCAATATTAAGAACAATTTAAAGATGTGTCAAAAAGCTTACCGGCTTGAAATCACCAGGCAGGGATTCTTGCACCTGTTTGAAACCCTCTAGAGCATCGGCAATATGATCCTCTACCATACTATAAGGAGGGTGATCCCATCGTAGGGGGTCCTTCCTTAGATGCCTATGGCCATTTAAAGCCTAGGACTTTGTACTTTTTAGGGTGTATTAGGATTTGAATTCCTAACTATTTGGGGGACCTTGAATTAGAATTGATTCTATCATCACGCATTTTTGTAAGAAACAAGTAGGATTCGCCAATGAGTTTGGGAAAACCCATAGACCTCGTTGATGCCTTTTTCCCATGTAGAATGCATGGGATATTTAGCACAAATTGATGAGTGTCATTTATGGCACTCATTCGGCCTCTTTTCCTTAGCTTTTCCTTAATTTTGTTCTTTATTTCCTTAGTTTGTGCTTTCCGTAGTTAGTTTCCTTGTTTTGTGCATTTCTTTGTTTATTTGTTCTTTTTCCCTTTTATTTGTTTGTTTTCGTTTGTTTTTAGGTTATGATCGTGTTTTCAAGGAATCCTGAACCTTCCTCTTATATTTCTCATCAACTTTGATGCCTCATGTTCGCCTTTTGGAACTTCATGTTTAAAGGAACGCAAAGAGCAAGTCAATAAATCGGTGCACGTATGCGGTGGGGGCGTCATCTTTGCCATGAACCCACCAAAATGGCCCTCTCAAGACTGCCCACCTTGGTGTTCATCATCATCAGAAAGTCGAGCCCACGAGGATGAGCTTGGACAAAGAAGAGGGGGGCTCCCCTACTGCCAGGTGCGGGCCCACACGAAGGTGGTGCGGCCACGCACCTGGGTGGCGCGGGCGCGCCAGCAAGGGCCCCTGCTCCGTACTGTTTTTCTCGAGGCCGCGCCTCACCTTTGTTGCAACTGCTTCTTTCAGGGTTTCTTTTGGGACGATCTAACTAACTTTTCTTTTGTATCTTTCCTATATAGATAGTTTTTCCTTCTATTTTTTGAGAGAGAATTAGAATAGAATTAGAGTTAGTTTTAGATTTTTAGAGAGAGAAACTCTAGATTTTTAGAGAGAGAATTTCATGGTGGATTGTTATTGATTGAAGATTTCTCCATTTCCTTTGATCTTTGATCAACTTTGTAAGGATTTGTGGGGAATAAATTCAAGCTTTAACCCCTAGCTTGAACCCCATTGTGATCATACACTAAAGTACGGTGGCGTCCAAAGGGAAAGAAGATAGAGCAAAAGAGTCGCCAACAAGTTGTTTAGGAACTTGTAAACCGTTCACGAGATGAAGGTTACACCCCTTAACGGTCCAAGAGATCGTCAACTCCATAAGGTCCAGAACCAAATAAGGGTTTGGGGATGATGGTACAAATCCAACCTAAAAGAGATTGAACCTACCCTAATAATAGGCCTCTACTTTATTCTGATCGTATTCATGTGCGCTTTTTGACTAACATGCAATCAATAGGTTTAACCCTAAACCTGTTTATCTATGTTGGTTGAATATAATGCACACATAAATCTATTATTGGCGATCACTTGAATTATAATCAAATTAACCCTAACAAGATTATTAATTATCTTATTAAGCATGATTACAAGTACCAATTCTCTTTAAACATGCGTAAAAGGCGTGATCAA